AACCCCCCCCCCCCCTATCCCGTTAGAACTAAGTATCTTCTGCTCAAAGTTGTATGCACAGAGAATGTTATTCGAATGTGTCTCACATTCAAAGGCCAGAGTCAAGTATCTTTTTGTATATGTTGTTATTGTTTTTTATCTTTTTGTAACATTGCTACTTTAAATTGTGTGTATGGCTTACTCAAGAAAGACAAGAAGGAGAAGAGAGCTCATCAAATGTAAAAATGAAGAGCTTTTGGGGATTTTGGGCCATGACAAGACCAAGATTTTCACAAAATGTGCAAAGATTGAAAAGGCATTTCAAAGGTTTCTCACAATTATTTGGTGAGTAATAAGCTATTGTCCATTGTATAACTTTCTATTTGTAAGATTTCTTGTTCTATCTATACTTCCCCACTTGTCACAAATCCATATTCATACAAAAACAAAACTAAAAAGGTCAAATACTTACATGATCTTCTTGAAGTTGTTGTCCGTTTTCATTTAGACACATTAACTAAGGTTTTTACAGATAAAATACGTAATATACAACTGATATGTGCCTATTGAATATCAATTATAGTATATTTTACTTATAAGTCCACAACAACTGATGGAGATCTAGGTCGAGAGGAATGAGGCTCATATGAAACAAATTCAAAGTCCAATTACATAATATAGTTGTTACATCAAAACTAGGTGTTTTCTATAAGACATACCAAGTAAAAAACTTCACACATTATCGCGCTCAACTCCAAATGAATTGTGTCACATCAACTTGAGGCATTCAATAAACACATTTCACACATACAACTATACAATCATACATCAAATATCGTCTAATAAGATATGATCTTAGTTGAAATATCTAACTGAAAATTAGTGATTTCTTTATAAGGTTGTCTATATAATTGACGTTTCAAAAACTCTAGCTCAATAGATGATAATGATGATTGTTCACACCATACAAAAAGATAACAATGCACATAAAATATTCAATTACATACTTAATATCTAACTCAACACTAAAAAATCATATCACAAGCCAATAACTCATTCCCTCAACCAATATAGAACACTAGTAACAATTTTCAACACTACCAAATTCCACAATCCAATTTTATTTTATTTTTTTGCATTTTTTTATCCTTATATTTGCCTTTTTTTTTTTTGCAGCACGAAGAGAAGAGGTAGAGGAAGAGGAAACGGAGATAGAAATAGGATATCCAACAGATGTGAAACATTTAACACACATAGGATGGGATGGATCAACAACAATTAATCCAATTAAAGGATGGGAAAATTTAAAACCTCCTGAAATTATTTCTTTTCCATCAATTTCTATTAAACAATTTGAACTTGCTATGGCTGCTCAAGCTGGTGAACCTATAGACGTTATTAATACCAATAATTGTGCTTGATTTTTTGAAAAATATTATTTGTAATTTTCTCTTGCTTCTTGTCTACTAAACTCTAAATCAATTTATATCTTTTTCTACTTTTCTTGAGGATGCAAATTAAGTGATATTTCTTTTCTCATTTTCCATCTAATATTCGAATTTTGATTAAATTAGAATTCACATCGAAAAGTCCCGCTAAAGACCGCTCGCTAACAAAAATAACCCCATAAAGGCTAACAAAAAATGACTCTATATAGAATTCGTTAATAAAAGTGACTTTATATAGCATAACTTCGTTAATAAAAGTGACTCGTATGGTTTCCTTAATAAAAATGACTCCATATGGTTTCGTTAATAAAAGTGACTCCGTGTTGAACACAAAAGTGAAGTTTGATATCAAACGTGATTTCGTATAGAATTCAATAACAAAAGTGACTCCGTATAGTAATCGTATAGCAACCACTAATAAAAGTGACTCCATATAACATTCAAACTAACAAAAAAAAAGTTTGCAAAACTTGAAAATCTTTATAATAATTAATGCAAAAAATGAAAATCAATCAAATTCTTCACCTATCTAAAAGAACATAGAAATATTTTTGTGTATATATTTTGTAGGCACCATAGCGAGCCAAAAGTTGATTGAAAAACAAAACAATGGCTTTCTGAGATGCCTAACCCTTTTGAGGTTTTTTCTATTAGATCTTCTTATAAACTATAGTACAAACAGCAATTTCCAATACATATTTTCATGATAATTACCTCAAAATAAGATTTGAGATTTTTTCAGAATGTATTGGCCAACGCTGATTGAAGAAGATCTGCTTTGTTTTTTAGGGTTTCCACTTCCCTTTTACTTTTATACACCAAAGGGGAAATTTCCAAGTGTTAATTGGGCTTCTCTAACTTGGAATTATTGGGCTTTAGTTAAAAACAGAAAATTTTGTAAATAGCGTTATTGACAAATCGAGATTTTACTATGTTTCAAAACGTAGCAAAATGCATATAATGTCTAATTATAATTGAAAATCGCGCAAATAATCATTGTATGTGTGTATATATATGTGTTTTGAAAGTAGAAGTTGTTTGTATTTGTGGCGAGCTAGTTTTATCTAATGACCAACAAGTTTTGTGGTGGAGTGGAGTGTTAAGTACTCCTCCATTTTTAAGCATAAATCTTAGATTCGAGTTCTCCTAAATACAGAATCGTCTTTGTTAGGGAACGTTTTACCCCCTAAGTAGCAGAAACGACGTGGGAAACCCAGAAAAAAAAACTATATTATATAATGAGGTATACAATGTTGTTACACACTGAAATTAGTTTGATTGAGCCCAAAACACTACTCTACCTATTTGTGTTTTACTCAAGCCGAGGGTTTATCGGAAAAGGAACGAGAGTATAAGATGGTGTATACACTACCCACCTAGCTATTTTCATATCTGGAGTGGGTCTTGTGGACTCAAAACATGCAAAGAAAGCCCAAATATTCGTAAGGTGGGCCAAACACAAACCCGAACTGGCCCAATATCCCAAATCAATCCAAAATTGACGACTAATCTATCTCTCGTTAGATCAAGAACAGGAAAAAATTCAACACAATTATTTTTTTCCAGATTTTGCTACAATTCAATCTCAAATTTCAAATCTCAATATCTACAGGTATTAATTTCAGCTCAAAAATCTGTTTTTTTTGTTAAAATATAGTTCGAATTTAATTTTTCTACCATTTTTTTTGTTGCAGAAAACAGATTTGCTATTGCACTGTGAGATCAGGGACGGAAATGGGGTTTTTGGTGACAACGCTAATTTTTGTGGTAGTGGGTGTTATTGCGTCTCTATGTGCCAGAATATGCTGCAATAGAGGGCCTTCTACTAATCTGTATGGTCAAATTTCTTTAATTTGCCTTTGTTTGCTTCAAATTTGAATATCATTATTTGTTTAGGGTTTTTTATGTTTGTTGTTGTTGTTTATGAAAAAAGATGAAATCTTTGGCATAGAAAGCTGAGTTATTAATGTTGAGTTTGATTTCTGGTATAAAACACTGGATTATTGATAAAATGTCTGCATTACTGATGTGGTTGTTCGGTTTCGATTTCATTTCTTTTTGTTATTGCTTTAGGTCTTGTTTGGTTTGTTGTGTTAGAAAAAAACATTTTTTGGCAATAGAACTTTGCATCAGAGCTCTAAGGGCCGGAGCTACGGTCTTTAAGTTTATGGATTTTGAATTCTAGAAAAGATAAGCTTAACGGGTTCTGAATAAGTTATTTATACATGTCAAAAGATAATTGAGCTAAAGTTACTGTGTTCTGCCGAACCTGTAGGCAGAACAATAGCTCCTCCCCTGTTATGCATCTATAGAGAAAATGTGTAATCCTTTTGGGGTGGGTGGGTGGGTGGGGTGTCACTTT